TCATTTGCTGAATTGCGGCAGGAATTAGCTATCAAGATTTGCATCATACAAGCCACTTACTGCCAAGATAATTACAAATACATATACGGCCACATTTCGCCTTCTCGCATTTCATTAGACACTTCAGACGTAACATATAGGAAAAGGGAAAATTTAAGGGCGCGAAAATTTTCTAATTTGGAGATGACATAAAAGAGAGCACTTCATTCAAAGAACGCATAGCAGTATCGCTTTCTTCGAGCTTCGACCTTCTTTGCAGCAAGTGTTTTTATGGCGCGGTAGGTGTCATAAAAGGGCCCAGTGCAAGAACGGGTGACTCCAGTTCTTCCCGAAATTTAGTTTTAAATTGATTTATACCTTGCATTAAAAAATTGCCCTATTTACTGATGAGAGACATTTGTTCAAATGTTAGAGATTTCAGAGATACATAGAGAAAGAGATTTTGGTTTTTAACAATTAAAACAGAACAGTAATGAGTGGCAACATGTCAAAACTAATTAGCAGTGCATGCTATAAAGGGGAGAAGGAAATGCAACTTGATTTAAATTTTCTGGCATGCTTCTTGTTGGTTTCAAAAAGTTTTTTTACAGTGGAACCACGTCCTTTTAGCACTGGACCCTTCAATTACACCTCCGTAGGGACACTTGACATAAGAAAGCACAAGGAGACGCGAGAAACAAGTGGGCAATACTAATTATTTTTTCTAAGAAAGCACAAGGAGACGCGAGAAACAGCAGATAACACGTGGGCAATACTAATTATTTTTTCCTGTTTACGTCAACTTTCATTTACTGACAACCAAACATCACACAGCGTCTTCTGCTGAGCAGTTTACAGAAACAAACATACGAATGCAATGTTACAATTTTATTACAAGATTGCAGATATTGTAATCAAACTCCGTGCATCATGCATTGCCCTAATTTACAAAGCAAGTACCTCACCGAAAATTCTTGTGTTAGGCAAGAAGAACAACTAAAACAGGATTCACTGTAGTCTTCCGGTATAGCATCTTGTCAAAATGGTAGATATCTCAAAGGACTTAAGACTCTTAAAGAGTAGACAGAAATATTTTCCGAAATGTATGTAATTTTCGACACGGTGCTACATGCAGAAGACTGCACAAGGAATGGAGTAAACAGCGAAAACCCCCACAGACTCATTCACAGTCATAGAAGTTTCGTGCACACAAATTCGCGACACACAAACGAGTTTCCTGAGACCTTTAACGAACGCGATTTAAATGTTCGGGGTACATTTCGCAGACGAAACGGATAATCAATGATAAATCGGTATTAATCGGACAGAAAGCAACCATGAATTACCAAGATGCCCTCTCGGCACCCCAAATGCTTAGCTAAATGCGTCTCAATAATAAATAAATTTCCATTAATACAAATTACGCTATAATGCATACATATCATCTATTACAAGGTATATGCAATTACCTGGCAAGCTTGGTAAGTTCCAAAATGGCCACCGACAACCAAACACTCGCATAGCTCCCCAGCCAAACCCCATCCAGTGTTGAAATTTTTAATACAGAGAATTTTAAACGTCTGTGCGCTCTCTCAAAATTGAGAGCGAATAGTTTCACTACAAAACTGGCACAAGTCACTGCACTACTAACGAATAGAAGATAACATCAGCTGTCAGTACTAACACGCAGGTTATATCAGCAGTAAAGACTGAAACGACTTTATTACTCGATGCACAAATCACAAATCACTGATATCATTAGACGATTTACGAGCTGTTTCCACACATTATTTTACCACTATTCCAAATATAAGATGCACGAATTCGGACTGACAACTTTCTGTCATAAATAATAGGTTATATAAAGCAAAAACGCACTTGTATGTGTAATTACACATCATTTATCACTAAAGCTTCAACCAGTTTTGTCACAAATTTTAACACAGCTATCACCAACATCCTTGGTACAGACATCAGTTCAGTTTCAAATACGGATTTTTCTCTCGACATAAAAATGTAGCTCCTGCTCTGAGATATCGGACGAGTGTCCGATTGGTGTCGTCAGTGAGCCCGTTTCTTCACACGCGTTATCAATCCTTCCGGCACGTTGCGAGGCGCTAAGAACCGCACACAGACACAACGAACTGGCTACACAAGACTACAACAAGCCGGGTTTTGACGTCACTGAGGCCACGGCTACAGTTCTTCTTAACGAAGACTGTAATTCGTGACGTCATAACCTCTGATGCACGTTGTACCGGTGAACAGGTCCAGAACGGGTAGTGGAGATTACCTCACGTGTCCCGCAAGGTCAATTACAGGCCAATGGAACTGGGAAGGGGGGAGGGGTAAATGACTGGGGCTCTTCAGGGTATCCGTCTGTTGGGCATAAAGTTCAAACTGCAAATACTACGGTAACTGTTAAATTATTACTGAAGCAGTGATGCAACGAAGCTGAATCAGCAGTAAAACTATTTGGGAGATACACGATTCAGGTCTCTATCCGGTAACCGGTTACAGGCCCTGTTGACTCCAAGCTACCGTGGGTCTCATTAGTCCTTCAGGCTGCTTCTGGTGTAGGACTGTCCACGACCACTTCCTACCATGTCCCTTCCTACTCAGCCTTACAGCAATCTCCACATCTCTTTCAAGAACACCAAAGTGCCTAACTGAGATTTGTCTGTGGGTCACATTATGAAGACCTTCTTACAGGTTATTTCACAATGCTGAACCAACAGTTCAGTCTCCGTCGACAAAAGTTAAATAAATAAAACCGAATTATTCTTTATCGTCAGGGATACAAACATGAACTGTATTTTTAAACAATCTTCTTCCAAAAACTAATACAAAGTAACTTTAGCGTTTCATATACAATAGTTATAACTGAAATATTTAAATAAATATTTCGGAAGTTTACAGCCGAGCTTCCGCCTACCAGTACCTAGGCTGTAAAATCACGTGTGACGCTTATGGTCTACGGAATAAATGCAGTGAAATTTCCAACTGTAAGCCGACACCACAACGCCGATTTGCTCATCTTCACCAAAAAGAAAGCTTCAACACAAATGCAGTCGAGTTCTTTCCAGGAAACTCATGTCGCACATTGGAATATTTGCCTTCTGGGCGAAGTTTCTAAACGCTCAGCAAATCTCTTTTGAATTTTAAGCTCGCAACTGTAATGAAGGTCTGCGGGATCGAGTTGCAAAGTAGATTCTTCGTTTTCTTTGACACTTCAAAAGGTTTAGCAAACATACCGAACAATGCTCTCTTATGACTGAAGTCCATAGAGTCTACCTGAAAATTAGTTTTTCGGTCCCGGGATTTATTTTTCCAATGAATAATTTCACAGAGGTAACTTTTTTTTATAAAATCGTATCAAATACACAACATCACTGCACACGCAAAAAACAAAGCAAGAAAACTGGGAAGCGACTGAGCTAGCTGCGACAAGTGACAGATTTTCATATACGCGTGTTAATGTGTTCAGATAAGATTACATATCTGCATAACTCAGAGACGACCTCTTCGTCCTATTCTGGAAGAACTAACTTTAACTCTGATAATCATTACTAAAATTTATTTGGCAAATAAAAATTCAATTTTCACCTAAACTGGACAACTTTGTACTCACACCAGCATGTTTTGTTTATACAGAATATTAGAAGCAGACTTATAGGCCTACATTATATTAACGTAACGTCTGTGGAGTCGAACCCAGCAAAACCACCAAACACCCTTTCATTTACAACAATAAACTTGAGGTTATGCACTGATAGCCTAAGGAGTTTGTACGAGACAGACAGCTGAGCTAAGCTTCTACTACGCATCGTTGGCGCCCAATTAAATCCAAAAACCGAGGTTCTTAAAAATAGCAAGCATCGCAAAAGTTTCGAAAATCCCTTGCGGTGCATATGTAACGTCAGCGGTAATTACTTGTACCGAACAAAATAATAATAGAGAATTATTACCTTGCGAAGACTGGAAACAAGATCGCGCCAAGAGCTTGTTACGCTTTGTTTAGGCAACGAGCGTAATAGAAGAGTCGAATAAGTTGCCTACATAGCTAGGGGCACTGGACATTATCAAAGCTGCATGTAGTATAGTCGGCGCAGTAGTTTTTGGCCGGTGGAATATTCAAGGGGAAGGCTAGGAGCGAGTCTCTTTTGCGACGGTATAATGCTGACTGCACCGAGGAGCTTATCGGACTGAACGCACAAACAAAAGAAATACACTGACCGTGCCACCTCAGGTACACAGAGTAGGCCCGTCCGCCAGCTCCACCGACCAAAAACTACTGCGCCGACTATACACAAACATATTTGAAAGATCTACTCCACGTTATCATTCTAGATCGAAAAATTTGAGATGAAGGCTTCCTTCTTATTACATAAGCAAAATACAAAATAACATTTAATTTAAAGTTACGTATATAATTACCTTCAAATTTCACGTCATAAACCAATTTCTTAGAATATTTAAAGTACGTGATAGTCTTCATTTTTATTAGCCTATTTGAAAATACCTTCTTCCATATCAGTTCAAAGGGTTTAAATACTGTATTTTAGAATTTCTCTGTTTGCTTAGTAATGCCGGAATTGTGCTGAGACCTGAACAGTCTTTTTTTAAGCACATTAGTTATTCTGTTCACGTACAGCTCGTTTCATGACTGCTCCCTTTCAGCTCGGTTAATGAAGAACTGAGACAGAAGTGTCCATATTCAGGAGCAGGGATTTCTAAACGAGGCATATTTTGTCACAGGATTTTTGTTGCGTGACGAATATAAAAATACGAGTACGCAGGTCCAGATACGGTTTCAATACACGGCATAAGTGAAAAACAAAAGATCATACAACTAAATTACACTTCAGTAAGTCAACCCTTCCCAGTTTGACGTCTCGCACGTAAATCCTTTCTTTATAAAATATCGATCCTGCATGGTGTGTGCATTCTGGGGTTCAAACTAGAAGGCACGTGGCTGTTATTAAAACGAAAATAAAGTACTGTAAAGACGAACAGCTTACCTGCAAGTCTGGCAAGGGCAGCTGGGTTATTGTTGATGGACTCGACAGGTTCGTTTCTGTTGAGGCCAAGCGTCGATGCTGTCCGGGACCAAGAGGTACAAGAATCACAGCCGTCCGCAGAACGATTTGAAAGACGACAGCAGGTCCAACGTTTTCCGCTCCACAGACCCACGTGGAATCTCTCGCTCAGACACGAGTTCTCTGAGCAAACTGTAAGTGAAAATAAGAAAACGAATATAGGGTTTATATTCGGTCGATCCATAACAAAATAAAATCCACCGGACCTTATTTGAAATTCCATCAAAACTCTTACAGAATTTCGGAAATGGGATTTGCAGGGGCCAGACGAACATTTCGATTCTGCGTTCATTGTACGCACTTAGTGCACGCCGATCACACCTTGAGGTAGGGGAAGGAGATGTTTGAAGGCCACTGTGGAGGTCCCTCTGGTCACGAAATAAACATTACCTCTCGATTTCTGGCTACTTCATCATCCAACTATCCATGAATACGGTTGTCGCCTTGGCAAGATTGTCATCAACGTTATCATTTCCTTCAGTGCCATCTACTTCTCGACGAGAATAGCTGATTTTGGTTCAGGAAGGCATACAACATTGGCATGTACAAATAAATTCGCATTCTAGTACATACATTAGCGAATGGAACCGGTTCAAAAAAAAAATTCTGCTGCTCTGTCCCCTCTTTCAAACTCATATAACAATATACCATAAAATGACTAAGAACTCTTTTCTGAGACACTTGTAAAGTTGAAAGCCTGCTCTTCGCATCCAAATAAATTCACTGCACATCGTATTTTCGCACGTTCAATACTGTCCGGTATTTTATCAAAACTATCAAACATTTATTAAAATTGTATTTTTATTCTATGATATATAAGAAATTTTGGTTTCCGATACTTCGACAATTCTTTATTGTATCCAGATATTTTTCAGGAGGCTTACATTCTGTACAAATAATGCACAGGGATTGGAACCACTGTGTGACAGCCATCTCCGCCTCTCTGTCATTCTCAAAACGCTGACGCTGACGCTGACCGGACAGGAATTTCTTGAGGTGTAGGAAAAGATGGAAATCACTGGGAGCGAGGTCCGGGCTGTAGGGTGAATGATTAAACACCTCCCAGCTGAACTCCTGCAGGAGACTTGCTGTCCGTCGAGCCGTGTGCGGCCTAGCGTTATCACTGACCGCACTTCACAGTCGGCGGGAGCTGGAATAAGAACCTCCATCTTCAACAGCTGCAACGATGCTACTGTGAGAAGGCGGGAAGTGCCGTTAGTGCATGCGCCATGCTACGTCATTGCTCTATCACGTACGCACAGTCGCTTCGCTCAATATAAGGTTTGCTAGCTGTGGGACGAGTGGGAAACTTACTTTTGGGACGCGCCTCGTATATTCAATTCAGCCTCTAAACCTTGAAATTCTCATTAAATCAGAAGAAACAATTCATACAAATTGGCTATAACATTTCGGCGTTCTAGTCCGAGATTGGAAATACTCTTTAAAATGTTTCTGTAAAATTTTATAACACTGACTTGTAAAAACTTGTAATTCTCGACGTACGGTTTCCATTTTAGCAAACTTAAACCACGAAAGTTGAAGGCTAAATCTCTGTGAGCTTCCTTTCTAGCCGCAGAGTCTCACACACATCCATTACTTGCAAGGAAACTATTTTCTCCAACCCTTCTTGCCGCGAGAGCTCACGGTTACCAGCCAATGATTGCTTCGTGCCTCCTGCACCGCATTCATAAGGAGGGCGAACAAGCCACCCTTCAGAAGACGATCAGTGTCGGCAGGAATACCGATTGCGAATATTCAAGTGTTCCAAATTAAAGAGGCAGGCTTGACTCCCCCGAGGTTAAATCAAAGTTTGGACGTAATGGATCGGCCCTATGTTTAAAAGTTCAAACAAGCTCTGAATTCAAAACCGTGCTAGCTACATTCACAATAGCATAAAAGATAAACTATATAATCACATAAGCATCCACAGCCAGATAAAACAGATTAACTAGCTACTTCGTAACTACATAAAATACATTAGCGTAATATATAATTTTTTCATATCCACGAAGACATCAAGAGCATTTCGCTCCATGGCACATATCCTTCAACCGTTTCAAAAAAGGTGAACCTTTCCTCCCCACGGTAGGGCCTTGTACCTGTTCCACGAAAAGAGAAAATCAACTGATGGGCCTACACGAGTAGGCTGAAGCAGCAACTCCAGTTATCTGCTTACGTGATTTTCTTTTTGTAATGTTCCTCAGTCTCTTCGGCAGTCGGGTTAGCTCAGCCACTGCGAGAAGAAGTTCTAATCAAAAAGTGATTATGCTTGACCGGAAGAGGAACATGCCACTTTTGCAGCAGGAAAATTTCGAAAACACGCGTTCTCATCCCCCTTTGGTGCTTCTAGAGTCCATAAACAGAAACTTTAATAGCAACATTTCGTAGTTAGCGCTCTCGCCTCGTTCGCATTTCGTGGCCTGCACCACACAATTACATTTAAAATTACTAATTGTTTTTCATTTACGCATGTTTCGTGACAGTCGTGCGCATAGGACACTGCCCCGAATGACTGCATAAATTCTGGACATAAACAATATGGTATCAGACCACGACTGCTATTTACCTAACATAAAATCCACCTCCCTTTTTTGGCACCTTGATGAATGTAAAGTTTTATTCAAAGCTTAAATTCTACAAGTGGGCCCTTCTTTAATGAAAAATGTATTTGGCACAGGTAACACTGTTGGGTGTATATGTTATTTTTCTACGTTGGGAGTCAAAGGAAAAAAAGAACGAAAAATCTATCACTGATTTCTACCACCCCAGATTCTCGACATAATGCAAGAGAACGTTCAATGTTGCGTATTACAAAACATGTCATTTCCTTTGTCACTGAAAGACAAAGACTGTTCTTTGCCTGACAGTAGCAACAACATCCAGTCCTCGTGTGTTAACAAAGGCTTTCCAGTCACGCAATAAGCGGCTTAACAAGCGAAATAACAGAGTGAATCACTTTTAAAATAATAATGATAATGATAATACTAATGGGCGTGAAAATTATTAACAAATGTAGTCTAAACATAATTGTTTCGCTTGAACTTTTACATTATCTTAATGGATTACTGTAATTAACCTATTCTAGCTGCAAATATAATAATTAACACTAAGATTAAGATATTAATTATGATAAAAATGGAAGAAATTGCCAAATGCGAAATTCCACCATCTCATAATGCTCAGGATGACATGTAGTGAGGCGTCAGTCCCCTTTCTCGACCGATTCTCTTCATACGTAAAATACAAGCCCAAATATTTATACCTCAAAGAACATTCTATAGGACATTAAGATTAGAAGAGCGCCATACTTATAAAAACTAATACCAAAATACAAGTCCTACAGACCATTTTAAAACGGCAGATAAAAGAATTCCAAAGGCAACGCTGTTATTCTTACGACAAAAACTCACAGATATTTAGTATTTTACAAGTAACTGCTAGACGAGATTCAGCTAAGCATGTCGATATTGACCCGAGGAGATTCACGTAATATACGTTTTGGGGTCGGTCGCTGTAATTCTAAGAAATGAAGAGACAAAGCCATGTTATAAACCCAAGACCCTGGATGACCAATATGACTCAGCACTGACTGCTCAATGTGGGTGATGACTTCTCTTCCATGTTAATACTATACAAAGGTTCTGTTTTCATGTTGTAAACATGTTCAGTCGTACGAATAATACACTATTATATGCAGTGTACAATATTAGACAATAGGGTACCGATCTTCGAAAACCACGCAGTTTATCGGTCCGTGAATCACAAATTTTGAGACCTACTAGTGTAAACGCATTGATAAATCTGATTCAGTATTTAATTTTCTTAATGTCTTGAATCCGTTTGCAGCCTGTATATGTATTTGTATGTGTAATTTTCAGTTCATATTAAGATTTTGATATCTGCAACAGACGCTTTTGGCTATGGCCATAAGGGGCTGTTAAACCTCACAGGCTTTCAATTCCGACTATTCCCTGTCCGGGTCAACTTTTCTGTATCTGTTTATCTCTTTCGGCTGTAACACAGTTAGGTTTCTTCTATAATACAGCAGTAAAAGCAATTCACAGTTTGCTCGTTTGGACAAAAGTTTTACATTTTGCTAACAGAGCTAATAAAGCATCTTTTTTTTACATTATCACTGCCCCGCTGGGTAACGCAACAGCGTACTTTTGTTTCAAAAATTTCAAAGAACCACTTCAAAAGATTGTTAATAATTTTAGTTCTACTAATCTCATCGTGATGGTAAGAGAGAATGACTACGATAGTTTTATAAACCGTATTAAGGATAAACGCTTCGAAACAAAAGAACGAATACCAGTAAAGATTCTAAAACTTGATGCATTTCGAAAGCATTAATTTGTAAAGAACGAATGCTTTCTGTCAAATTATGAAATTGTGTTATTTCCATCTGCTCCTGTAAGAATAAATCAGACTTATACCCGAGCGGTTTACTTCATCCCATTATCCGGGGATACTTTGAAACGCAGTTGCCGTCAGACCTTTTTGGACAGTCCGCAGTAGGTATTCCTTGATCAAAATTATGTATGCATTTAGCATTTCTCCATGCGTGCCGTATATCCCACCCGTCCCATAATCCCTGTAGTAACAATGGGCGAACAGAAAAAATTAACAGGTTCTTTGTATAATTTTCTCCATTTGTATGTTACTTCACCTCAACGACATAACAAGTTCTTGCGACACCAGTTACATAACTGGACAAACGTACGGACATAATCGTTCTGTCGAAACGCGTATGCGAGATGTGAATATCTCTGCAATCTTGTGAGAAGACTGAAGAAGATGGACTGGTTACCTGCCCTCAGAGCTCGGATCCACTCGGCCCTGTCTTGATCTCGATTAGCCAAGAGGTAGAGGGTGTATTCCTGTCCACCTTCCTGGTAGCCGACTTGGAAAGGAAATCCAGCGGGATGCGTCACACCGTCTAGGACTAGACTGATGTCACCGCCACCTGCACCGCCGGTAGACGATGCACCACTACCAGAGAGTTGTGCAGACTCCACCACTTGAACCGAACCGATATCGATACGGCCGCGTTCTTTACGGCGTTGCTGAAGAAGAATGTGAAACACAAATCACCTATATACCCCAATAAATTGCTATATACACAAAGGATAGCATGCCAAAATATATCTACGGACCGTCATGCAAAACAGTTACAAAAGTAAAGATTCCCCTGGGCCCAAGGGCCACACCATAAAAGCATGTAGGAACCACATCAGCATTACGTAGAAATATAATGACAGCTTCTCACTCAGGCTATTTTATTTCCAAGTAAAAATAATTTGGCTAGGACGCTGGGAGGGCCCTGGAACATACGTGAACGAATTGACGCAGAAAATATCTTAACAACATTGAGAATCAAACCCCATCAGTCCAGTATATATCCAGTCACTTAACTAACAACTAATCCAGAACCCTCAAGCAATTTCGAATGCTTGTATCTTGGTGCCACAAGAAATATTAGATTCGATGTAGTGAGATGCCCACATCACATGTCCCATATATGTAAACAACGTCAGACAGTGTGATGAGGGGCAGATGAAGTTTTCGGATTTTGGAATACGTCGAAATAATAGTGAAAGCACGGTTAATGCAGCTTTGTCATATTACTGCTCACTACGAAGCGATTACCCACAAACTTTGATTTGTGAAGCCCTTACGAACGCCCGATTGATCCTTGGGCACCTTAAAGACGCTTTCTCAACAAGAGCGTAAAAAGATACTCTGCTTGTGAAGGAACGTGGAATAAAACAGTCGAAACCTATCTTAAGGTAATATTCCCGTCTAATGCCCAGTTTATACTAACTGGAAAACTAAGAGAAAGCAGAACGTTCCTTCAGAAGATAAAGTAAAATAAAATTCATCTAACAACTCCCAGAAGAAAAAGAAGTTTTGCCGGAGTTCAAATCTCTGCCTACCGTTAGCAAACTAAACTGCACCCTTAGGAAAACATTAACTAAAAATAAAATATGTACTATGATTCAATACGAGACCGCAATTTAAAACACCTCTAACGGGAAAAATCTTCCGGACTGATTTAAGAGATTGTAAAGAGTCTTTGGTTTATTTAAAAGCAAGCTACACAGGAATTTATAACAGTCCGTCATAATTTTATTGTCTCTAAATGTGGCTAAAATGGCCAGGGACTTATTCCTCTAAAAAGAACTTAATTTCCCAAAGGTAAACATTCAAGCCACAATGTATGTCAAGGTAGACGTAAATATTTAGAGAACAGCAAATCCAATTACGGAACCTTCATCTAGGTCACGGTTATTATTACATATATTTAAAAGCAGGAGTTATCCCCAGCACAATGGAGTCATCCAGTACTCCCGAATTACCTGAAATTACATATCGTGTATCTTCTTTTGTAATTGACTTAGTTTACAACGCTGTAAACTTTGGAGACCTACAAGAATCGAAGTAAAACAGGTAATGGTTGCTTATTTCGCCTTTCTAATTCGAAGCAAAATAACCCCTGCTGTTGATACAACGTCGTTAAACCAAAGTCAAAGAGATCGGATGCGATCTATAAGCCTATGGGAAATATATCTATGGGCGTATTTACCATCAACTCCATTAAACGGAAACGATAGGCAGAGTCTGACTCAACAACTACTAGGAGTTCAGCTCGGTATCCGTCACTAAACACAGCAAAAGGCAACGCAGTGTAGCAATAGCGGCCGATCAACTCGGACGTCCTCACATTCTCGATCACACTAACGGAATGGTCCTTGGCTTCGGCTGGACATTTAAATTAGAAACCACTTACTACGTTATACAGTATGTAGCTATGTTACCATAAGACAGGCGTGGGTGACTCTAACTTGCAGTCGTAAATTCGTGGACTACATACAATATTTTAGTTTCACAGGAAATGTCACATCCCACAAAATGTTAACCTTGTTCTACAAGAAAATTAAAATAATTGCTTCGCATCAGACTGGGATATTTTCCTAGTCACTCCGGCTAACTCAACACAGACATCTTTCCCGCCATGAGAACCTAATACTTGCGCGTTCCGTCCAATAACATTTCCTCCACTTCCACCACTCACTACCCGTTCGTTCAGCAGACAGACAGATGTATTCCCGCCGGACCATTCTATCATGTCTCCCCGAAGGGCAAAACCACGGCAACAGGCGAGCTGGCTCCACCATGACACGGATGGATATCGTATTCTTCGGAGCCTCTTCTTATTTAGCCTACACAGATCTAACCTTTCATTAGAGGCGCTGTCAATTAATGAAAGTAGCAGAGAATGGTCTTTTATTTAATCTATTTAAAAATATGTATTAACTTCAGCCTATTTAGCAACCAATAAATGATTATATGATGATTATGGCTGTATTAGTACCAAGGAGAAGAAAGCTGTTCTGGTGTACTTAGAAACTAGACAAATATCTTCAGACACCGAGGATAAAACACGAAATAAAAACGAAACATCCGGTCATTTGGCCAACAAGGAACATATCATAGTGTAAATAATGTTCCTGGTCGGTGTAGAAAAATGTTGCGGCGAATAAACAGCAAGGAAAGATTAATTATGAATCCCCTGCGAATTAAACAAGGTTTGATCCCGGGCCAAAGGAATGAAAGAAAAGGAAGTAACTTCGCTTCATTCATATTCAGTGAAAGGAGCAGCCACAATTCGCTAAGGACGATCTGTCCGAACCCAGTACCTTACAAGGCAGGCCTACGCACCGCGGGCGGGGACTAGATCGATGCGATGGGGTCAGAGGCGACACGTGTGATGGCTGGACCGTTCTGGCGCCAACAGCGTGAGCTTGGGGAACGTGAATCGCTCCGGACGTTACAGGAGACGTTTGGGCCTGCTGCAGAATCAGTGCACACCCACGAAACACTGACAACTATTTTAAAATTAATTGAAATTGAAATCTACGAACTATATTAGTGTTGGAATCATAATGTAACGGTAATAAGAGTTGTTCAAAATGAACAGATTTTCGGTAACGCGTCTGATATTACTCGGGAGGTACCGCGTTCGAATCACGGTGGAGTAACATCCTGACATCCTGATACTTCGGTGTTTTGCTCAGCCTTCTTAGGAGAATGGCCTTAAAATAAGCTGCACATTAACCAGTTTAGTTAAGCAGTAACGTTCTTTACTCTAGATAGCTGATTCGAAGTCTGGCAGAGGAACGAGTATTGCTGGATTTCGTGATTTTCCTCAGTCCCTCTGTGTATGTGCAACACAATTCCTCGAAATAGGATATAGCCACTTTTCGTGATAGTTTTTAAAGGATTACAAAAGAACATAATTGTTAACTCTGTGCACTGTCAATAGCTTCTCAATAATAATGGCCACTGCTGGAAAGTGAATTTCTGTATCAGCAATCAATAAACTTCAATCAGGTAAACAAAAAGTGCAAAGCACGCATTTGGAAAATGCGTGCTGATGTTCTACTCTCAACATAAAATATGACGCACGGAGCGGAACATATTCATGCGAACGCATCGTATTTGTTTGACCGACATGATCAGATCCAAGAATAAATTACACCATGCTTAGAAAAATTTGCATAAAGATGGCATACAATTTACAAGCACTTACGGCTAAAGTGACAGCTTTGCTAAATTACAGGTAATATAAAATACAGACTATAAAATAGCAATCATACGTCCTTGCAATTTTTGGACTTATACTCCTTCGTGCTGGTAACGGTGATACATTCCTTGCAAAGCTGATCGCGGGCCCGCCTGACTCTGGAGAGACAGTACCCTGAAGGAATGTTGGTTGCCACAGCAACAAACCAGTGAATGGATTAGTGAAGGCAGAACCCTGTACCTCTATTCAAACTGTTGTTGAGATCGTCGAATCAACAGGGGTTTTCTTGTTGTTGCTGAGATGCACGTGAAGTTATTTAAGCTCCCGTCCTGCTGGCCTTTAAATGTTATACTGCATCACCTAATGACTATCCAACCCACAATAGCAAACTCGGCCTATCGACCATCACCCACGCTTGTGCCTGGACTGGCAAATTCAATTCGTTAGCTGGAGTTCTATTTCACGAAGTACCGTTTGTTTAAGACGCTTTTTCAACTTTACAGGCAACATCGACGAATGAGATTGTGAAATAAGCAGTCAGATGTTGAAAGAAAGGATCGCGGCATATGTGAAGGTACAAACCTACCTCTTGCCCGGAGATACTTGCGAACAAAAAATCCCAGGAAACGTAAGCCCAATTTCCAGGTCGGAAATTTGACCCAGGGCATTCCGAATACAAACTACAAAGTCCTCACCACTACACTACACTATAACGAGTCCTACAGAAATATAGTCTGGATACGAGGTCTGACACGAACTGGAGTGGACAGTTTTTGTGGTCGGAAGGTGTAGCTAGAATTTTTACACACTAAATTCATTTAGTTAGGAGTTTTATTTTCTCTGAACCTGACATGAAATTACTTGACGAGTTCAAGTCACTTCTGACTTCCATATTTTTATCATTCCATTATTATTATCTCTCTATCGATCTAAATCGGAAGACCCTTTTAAGAATTGTATTATCTGCTACAAAAATTATTTATAATGGTATCCTTTCATCAGCACGTGGTTGCTAAAAAAAACTTT